AGGCTTGGGATGCCTGTCTTGTGGACGCGGGAAAAAGATGAACTGTTGGATAAGGCTGAAGATAACAGGAAGACAACACGAACTGATAAGGGGCCTAACAATGGGTTGCTTTGTGAATGGAAGTACGCTGAGTCAGTCAGATCTGCAAAGTGTTAAAACTGCAGGAATGGACAAAACGTTTGTGATTGCTCACGTGCACGGTAAGTCCAAATAATGTATACATTTGGACAGAACATTCAGGATTGGTCATGTGAACACATAATTCAAAGTAAGGAACGTACTTGGCACAGAAACTTGTGTATAAACAGCCTGAAGAAATCCTTTTGTTCAACAACACTTCAAAGACTCACATTGTAAGAAGGTACCTTATATCACGAGATGTGGTGAAGATATCGAGTAGTTTCAGTCTGGCCAGCTGCAAACTCTCCCAGGGAGTAATGTTTGGGTTTAGTTACAGAAATCAGGGTAATGAAAGACAGTGATTGAGGTATCTCTAGTCGTTAAAAGTGTGTTATTTGTTTAAGTACTTAATAAATGAATTATGGTTTTATAGAGCTCTAAGTGTCTCCACTGTATCTTCATCTATGTATTAAGTGTTGTCTCTCAGAGACAGGCAACAGAACTGAGTCATGGAGCAGGGCAGACGGAGGAAGTGCCCCCCTCCTTCCCTCACAGGTGCCAGTACCCCAAAGGACTGCAATCAAGATGACAGAACAGGCTATTGAACCCACAGGGCCCTAGGTGACAGAAAAGAAGTGTGCGAGATAGGGAGTGTGTGAGTGAGTGAGGGATGGAGGATATGAGATTTAGCTAGGGACAAGGTGAGTGCAAAGGAGAGAGTCATTATGAAGGATGGAGGGTGTGAGTATGAGGGAGTGAGGGTTGTGAGGCACTAAGTGAGGGAGGAGATATGTGAAAAGGAGTCTGCGGTTGAGGGACAGAATGTGAGAAACCCTGAAATTGAGAATGATTAAGATATACACCCACCACTATCCAATAAAGTAGGATGCAGGAGTAAAACACCGAGGGTGAGAGGCAACTGAAATCTGAGCTCCACTTTTGTATGAACCTCCACTAAGACCAACTCAGAGTAGTTGTCACTAGAGACAACCATTGGGTTATTGTTAGTTCTACCTGACTCCTTAGTTTAGCTCATGTCTCCATCTTTTCCCTGGTGAACAGGACTTGAGGCCTAGACTATCTCTCTGTAATTCTGCTTTTTAAAGGAAAAGATAAATTTTATGAGTAAGCTCTGCTGCTTGGCAGTTTTTAATGCTCATTTTTATTAATTACTCAAATATTTAAATTGACAACATATTGCTTTGGAATTTTCTGAAATTCATTTTTACTGTTCTGCTGAATATTTATTTCAAAATAAAGTGAGAGAAAAATTGAAATATCCCCTCCCCTTGCCATTTGGAAAGATTGGATAACCCTGTTTTACAAGATCTTTTTTATATCCCTGATCGGCTACTGTTGTATTCTGCTCTTTCCCCTTCTTATCAACTTTATGATGGTCCTTTGTTGGTAATTTAAACATTCCCAGTCCTCCTACTTGAAACTAATGTTTGCAAGTTATAAGATTCTTCTTTTAATCTAATACCCATTTCCTGAATAATTCATAGATGGATGTTTTTAGCTGAGCTTTTGTTTATCAACAGAAAATATTTTTGTTGAATGTTCTAAATTATTCCTCAAATGCTTCCCCCTGTTTATTTACTATTGTAGTTTTTGGTTAACTTACACAATCAACCTTAGTTAGTTCTCTACTCATAGATTTGTAATTGGCTTTGTTTAACTTTGAAATTCTTGTTTGTACTTGGTGTATCTCACTTTCAAACTTAGTATGGAATTCAATTTTATTGTGACTGCTGTCCTGATGAAGGGTCCCGACCCAAAACGTCAACTTTCCTGCTCCTCTGATGCTGCCTGACCTGCTGTATTCCTCCAGCTCCAGACTGTATTGACTCTGACTTCCAGCATGTGCAGTTCTTGCTATCTCCTAGAGTGAATACACTATTTACCTCAGGGCAAGCACAAATGGATAATAAATGCTTCCTTCACATTCACAGAATAAGTGATTTATTTTTAAAAGAATTCAATGAAAGAAATCATTGTCTCATTAATGTTAATTTTTGGACAAATCTAAAAGCTGTTCAAATGAGTAAATTGGCCAACTAATGGGAAACAGTGTTCGGACGAATGAATCACATTCAACTTGGCAAACTGTAACTACAGCAGCATCACACTATTGCTGAGCCTCATTTACCATCTATATTAATCACCCGAGGGAAGAGGCTGACTGTATTACAGTCAAATTTACTGTCATTACAAAGATAGTTAGGAAAGTAAGAGGAAGATAAACAGTCTATAAAAGGATATATATCGATCAAGTGAGTAGCCTAAATTTTGGCAGTTGGAGGAAAATGTGTCTACTTAGGCAGGATGACTATACAAGCAGAAAGGAGAGACACTGTAGAATACTGAGATATAGGGAATCTGGGTACCCTTGTTCATTAATCACAAAAAGCTAGCCTATAGTTACAGCAACTGCAAGAATTAACTAATTAGGAAGGCAAATGAAATGTTGGTCTTTATTGCAATGCAAAATAAAGTATAAAAGAAGTGAAGTGTTTCTACAGATGTTGAGGGCATTGATGAGACTATACTTCGAGTATTGTTAGGTTTTTGTCTGCTTACTTAAGAGGGATAGGTTTGTACTGGAATCAGTTCAGGAAATGTTCATTTGGCTGATTTTTTTGTGAAGAAGGAGTTGACTTATGAAGAAAGGTTGAGCTGATCAGGTTCGTGCTCATTGGTGTTTAGAAAAATGTGATCTTAATGAAACACATAAGATTCTGAGGGGACTTGACAGCGTAGATGTTGAGAGGTGTTTCCTGGGAGAATATAAAACATGAGGGGCCTTCCAATAAGATGACGAAAAAATTATTTTCTCAGAGGGCTTTTAGTCTTTGGAATTCTCTTCACCAGAGAGCAGTGGAGGTTGGATCATTAAATATATTTAAGAGTGAGTTAGACAGAATTTTAATGCACAAGGAAGTCAAGGCTGAGTCAAGGTAGTTAAGGGGCAGTAAAGCCACAATCAGATCAGCCATTATATTATGAAATAGTGGAGCAAGCTAGATGGGCTGAATAGTCTATTCCTGCTCCAATTTCTCATGATCTTGGGTGACCAAAGGGCAAGGGAGTAGATAGCAGGCTGAGGGAGGAGGAGTCCAGAGGATGTGGGTAGGGAATCAGAGGACAGGAATTGAAAGATGGGTCGCAAGGGAGGAGGATTATGGCCGTGCTTTTGGATGCTGAGGATCTGTTGATAGATGAGTCCTTGGTTACAACCTTTCTAATGTTTATCAAAGCCTTCCCCAACCTCCCCAATTATTCTTGGAGGTTCAGCTGCTAATCATGCCCAATACATTCCTCACTGATTTCTGCTGAAAAACTCACATTCCAGCTTATCAAACCTGTGGTCAGTGTGACCATTGTCAGATAGGAACTGTGAACAGGTCTATTCAAATCAAGCCCTGCCATTAAGATTGGCAAGCTCACCACATTCCCCACTTACCCGAGTTTCTACATATGATCAAGCTCCCCATGTACCAGTCCGACTGTTCAAACAAACCTCAATCCCACCAGAAAAAAATCAAGACTAGAGTTTTAGGATCACAACATTGAACACAATATATAAATACAAGCCAAAGTAGATAAACATCCCAAGGCATTTCCAATGATCTTTAGCAAACAAATTTGACAGGGAGCCACAGGGATGTTTCAGCAGATTACCAAAAATTTTGTCAAATAGGTTTTATTGAGTACCTTAAAGCAAGAAGAGTGATAGACAAAGAGAGGTTTAGGTAAAGTACTCCAGAGCTGTGGGCCTAGGCATCTGAAGGTTTGGCTGCCAATGAGATTAAATTTGGAGATGCACAAGAGGACAGTACCACTGCACAATAGCCCTCTGAGTTGGACTCCCTCGTGTTTGGTTTTAACGGAAACTACATCAAAAACAAAATATGTAGATGAAGAAAATAGAGATTAAGAGATTTGTGAACGTAGTGAGTTGATGTGATCAAGATCATTTGCTGTTCTAGAGGCTCAATTCCAACTTGTACATTTTTAAAAATCAACTTACTTATCAGACACCTCTGGAGTGTACATTGGCGGACAGTACCACTGTACGACTAAAGCCCTTTGGGGCATTAACCTGGGCCTCTCAATGACTAGAGAGTGGCATTACCACAGTCAGCATCAACATATTTATTTTATAAACAAGCTATGCAGGCGGCACGGTGGCTCAGTGGTTAGCACTGCTGCCTCACAGCGCCAAGGACCCAGGTTTGATTCCACCCTCAGGTGACTTATCTGTGTGGAATTTGCACATTCTCCCCATGTCTGCGTGAGTTTCCTCCCCCAGTCCAACAATGTGCAGGCTAGGTGGATTGGCTATGCTAAATTGCCCGTAGTGTTTGGGGATGTGTAGATTAGGTGGGTTACTGGGGCATGGGTCTGGGTGGGATACTCTGAGGTTCAGTGTGGACTTGTTGGGCCAAAGGGCCTGTTTCCACAGTGCAGGGATTCTATGATTCTATTCAGAGATATTATATGCAACACTTTTTATTAAACCCTTGAGGAGACACTAGTTTGCCTGAGCATCATCAGCAAAATAAAATTATAAACAAAGTCAAAACAAAAATAAAGAACTGCGGATGCTGGAAATCTAAAACAAAAACTGAAGGTCACTGGACCCGAAATGTTCATTCTGCTTTCTCTCCACAGATACTGCCAGACCTGCTGAGATTTTTCAGCAATTTCTGTTTTTTGTAAAGTGTCCTTGCTATGTATGCCTTCCTCGTGTGTTGACTTTTGGTCGGGTAAATATAGATTTAGGACCTACCCCTTTAATGACAACAGTTGGGACAGGTACAGGAAATCTGCGGGAGTGGAAAACCCGGGGCGGATCGATTGGGGGATCATCCCGCACGGAGCTGCAGACTTTAACGTTCCGGCTCGGCTCGGACAGCGCTAGCGATCTGCTTTCTTTTGTACCCCCCAACCCCCACCGTCCTGTGCAACCATGGAGTTGGTTTGGTTGGTGTTTCTAGTGATTGTCTTTTATGTTGCATTTCTTTACCGCTTCACTGGCGCTTCAACAAAGGCTGTGATTCGGGAGAAGGGGAAAGCGGACTGCCCGCTCCATTATGGGCTGAAGGACATGGTAAGTGATCCAAGCCTGACCCCAGCTGAGTGCTACTGGCCAATCCCTCCACACTTTTTTTGCACGCTTGCAATTCCCCCCCCACGTTTAGATTGTTCAACTTTTTTGGCATTTCCATCGTTTGCATTATTTCTACAATCGTCTTTCTCTTTTTATTCATTCAGCCCAGCCCCCAAATGTCCTTTCTTTCTTTTCCGGGTTCAGTTTCCTTTCTAGGACATGGTCAAATACCAACATCTCCTCCCCCTCCAGTGCATGTACGCGAAACCATAAAAGGAAGATAACAACACAGCCGATTAGGTTTCGTACTTGTCGTTATCTCATAAATTATGAGGTTTGAAGAATTTGGTGAATAAACCTTACCAAGGGAAGCAAAATGAGTCAAAGTCAATAGTAGAGAGCGCCAGAAACGGGTGTGAAACCATCACTGCCGGCCCAAAAGTGGGTCAAATTGATCTCTTATAATAAAGTACAATATTTGGTTCAATTTGACTGCACTGGCAATTTCACACACATTTCAGTTCTTGAACATAGGACTAGTCGTGTCTCCTGCTGAATTTGGTTCTGAAAGACCTTTAATAGTTTACACATCACGCCAGTGATATCTTCACAAGCATTAAACGAAATGAATGACATCCCACAACTTATGTGAAGGAGTCCTAGTGCAACCTGGCTGCTTTGTTGAATCCACCAAAAGCAAAGAAAATCCTTCCCATCATAGGCCAGAATCCGATAGAAATCAAATGTTACCAATGCAGAAAAATCCAATATATGTTTAAAAAAAACAAAAGAACAACAGATAATGAGATAAAAAGAACTGCAGATGCTGGAAAACAAACAAAAACAGAAATTACAGGAAAAGCTCAGCAGGTCTGGCAGCATCTCTGAAGAGAAATCAAAGTTAATGTTTCAGGTGTGGTGACCGACCTTCAGACTTGTTGGGTTTTTTTTGAATATGTATTGTTGAACAGAAAACCTATTTGCTCCAGTGGATGTGTCACATTTCTCTTCGTAAATATCCCCTAGTTGCTAGTTACATCCAGTGAATTTGTGCTGCAGCTTCTCCATTGCTTTTATATAACCAATCATAGAATCCGTGTGGAAACAGACCCTTCAGCCCAACAAGTCCACACTGACCTTCAGAATGTCCCACCCAGACCCATCCTGCTATAACCCATCTAATCTACACATCCCTGAACACTACAGGCAATTTAGCATGGCCAATCCACCTAGCCTGCACATCTTTGGACTGTGGGAGGAAACCCACACAGACACGGGGAGAATGTGCAAACTCCACACAGACAGCTGCCCAAGGGTGGAATTGAACCCAGGTCCCTGGTGCTGTGAGGCAGCAGTGCTAACCACTGAGCCACCATGTTGCCCCAAAATGCAGCAATCACCCACTGCCAGAATGGGGTGCCCAAAACAACTGCAATTGCAAATTAAGGTAATGTAGAAGTTTGAATTGAATTCTAGTGCTACTATTTACAAAACTGAGAATTCTATTTGCCTTTTAAAGTTTTGATTATTTTTCCTGCCAAATATTAGTGACCCCTTTCTGCTACTAAGGCCTGCAAACTATTTTTTAACTTTATTTTAAAATTATTTTAAGTTACATTTCGGTTTTGTTTTTCTAACATTAAATTAGATATGACATGTAGGTAAGGTAGATAAGTTGCTTACCAGTTGACAAGCTATGTAGTTTATTTTATGAGGGTTAAGAATGTGCCCCAACTGATTGCCAAATGGATGCGTGCCAGAAAGAAGAAACTAGGACAAAAGTGAGTGATTCAAAGTTCTGTTAGTGATTATATTCAATTTAATAAAAATTCAACAGAATAAATAGACTGGCTCAAAACACACAAAAAAAGCAGATACAATTATGCTCATGTAACCCAACAGTTATTCATATGATTAATCAGCCCAAATAGCAATAATCAATCTTGAGAATTAAATGAAAAAAAAAACAGATAAACTTAAAGTTATTAAATAGTTTTTTTGTACTTTTTTTCAGCCAGCAATACGTCTGTCTGGCCTTTCATTGAAAATAATGGCACATCTATCAAACACAGTAAGTGAACATATTGGAACTGATCTTGAAAAAACGGGTATTCAAAATGAACTGTGTAGCTTTATTTTTCTGGCCACGTGATTGTTGTGGAACAAGCAATATTTGTTGCTGAAAGCATTATTGATGTTAATGTTTACCTTTTTATTTATGTAGGGAAGTTAAAATGTAATAGAACATAGAACAGTACAGCACAGTACAGGCCCTTCAGCCACGATGTTTACCCTTATCCTAAGGTCTATCTAACCTCCACCCCTACCTTATACTATCATCCATATGCCTGTCTAATAGTCGCTTAAATGCCCCTAATGAGGCCGACTTCACTTCCCTCTCTGGCAATGCATTCCACGCCCCAACCACTCTCTGAGTAAAGAACCTACCTCTGACATCTCCCCTATATCTACCTCCACTCACTTTAAAACTATGCCCCCTCGTAATAGCTACCTCCATCCTAGGAAACATCTCTGGCTGTCTACTCTATCTAAAGATGAGAATAGTGTCTTCAGTACAGCATCAGACAAACCTACATTGTTCAGTTATTGGTATCTGTAAATACATTGTAAGGAGTGAGGATATAAAAGTTCCAGTTGTGTGCTGTGCTGATGCACTTTGTCGCAGAACAGTCTTCCTCTTTTTCTATCCAGAGAGTTATTGATAATACCAACAGCAGCGATGAATTTCCCTAAGGAAAAGGAGAAAGATGGTCTGCAGAAAGGGTTTTGGATTGGGGTATGGGTGATTTTATTAAAATAAGACAGGATCTGGCCAAAATAGACTAGGAACAGCTACTTGAGGATAAATTACAGCAGAACAGTGGAAGGAGTTCAAAAAGATGCAGGTCCAATAGGTTCCCTTTTGGGTGAAATTTTGGAGCAACAAGCCCAGAGAACCATGAATGTCAAAGAGTATTCAGGACTGGATAAAAAGAAAAAGAGAGGCATGCAACAGGTACAAAGGGAGCAAAATAACCGATGCAGTAGAGGAGTATAGGAAATGCTGGGGTGGGTCTCAAAAAAAGCAATTAGAAGAGCAAAGGTGGAGCAAGAGAGCACACTGTCAGGCAAAATTAGGGAGAATCCCAAGACAATCTACAGATATATCAAAGTGAAGAGAATAGTCAGTGAAAGAGTAAGGCCTATTAGGAACAAGGGACCATTCAATATGTGAAGCTGGAGGACATTCAGACGTGAGATTGTTGCTGATTGTGACCTAACTCAGTATGCATGTTTTTGACCTATGTGTCCTAATACCTTAGGTTAACAAAAACCTTTCCATTTTATAAACAGACATGCAAACATGTGAAATATAGGTAGAAGAATACATTGGTCCCTTGAACCTGTTTTGCCATTTGATAAGATCATGGCTGATCTGTTTCTTTTGAATTCCACATTCACATTCACCCCCGATAACCTTTGATTTGTTACCTGACCAGAATCTTTCTCCCTCTGCCTTCAAAATATTCATTGAACCTGCCTCACCAACTTCTGAAGCAATGTCCCAAAGTCTCTTGACTCGCAGATGGAAAGATTTCTCCTCATCTCTGTCCTAAAAGGGTGACAGCTAATATTAAAACAGTGTCCCCTAGTACTAAACTCGCACACAAGAGTAAACATCCCTCCATGTTTATCTTGCCAAGATTGTTCAGCACCTTGTATACTTTCAGTGAAGTCACCTGTTTTTCTTCTAAATTCTAGTGGGAAGAAGCCCAGTTTATCCAACCAGTAAACTGCCTCAATGCATTTACCCTTCTCCATGAAAGAGGAGGCCAAATTGCAGTCAACATTTGAAATGTGGTCTCACTGACTCCTATCTTTTGCGTGGAGAAGTATTTCCTAATTTTATTCATGAAAGGACTGGTTCTAATTTTTAGATAGTCATCTCGTCCTAGACTTCTTAAACAGTAAGTATAGTCCCTATGTATCCCATCTGTTCCCACATAATCTCTTGAAAACTTTGATTAAATCATGCCTTAACCTTCAATGTTTTAGGAATTACAAGCCTATATTCTGTAATCACTCCTGGTAAATTATACAACTGTAGATGTTGTTTATTCTATTAGATCTATGCCACACTGCTTTAAAGGCCAATGTATGAGGTGTTTCACAAAGTTACTCACATTATTTAAGGTAGGATTAAGACTTTGTACAGCTGAAGAGCGACCTGTGTCCTTGTATCCTAGTCCTGTAGATCTCAAAGTCAGTATTCCATTAGTCTTTCGATTTTTAATTTTTTCTCAGTAGGACATCTTTGAGGTAGATATTTTCTTGACCTAGAGGTAGGGATGCTACCACTGCACCACCAGAGCCCCCAAAAGGCTAATTCACCTCCCAGACAACTTTAACCAATCTGTTCAGATTTTCTATGACATACTTATCAAACAGGTGGAACTTGAAACCAGGTCAATCAGTAACTACCAAATCACTGCTGATGATGGAAAATGATGTCACCCACCCAGAGTACATTCTGCATCCTTGCCACCCTCAGTGCTTCCTCAAATGGTGTTCAACGTGGTGGAGTACTGGATTCATCAGCTGAGGGAGGATGGTACATGGCAATCAGCAGGAGGTTTCTTTGCTCATGTTTGACCTGATGCCATGATACTTTATGGGGTCCAAATCAAGTTGAGGACTCTCAGGGCAACTCCCTCCTGCTTGTACACTGCTGTGCCACCACTTCTGGATTAGGCCAGTGGATTAGGACAAAAAGATGGTTGTCGTTGTCTGTAAGGTATGATTGTATATGACCATGTCGGGCTGTTGAATGACTAGTCTATGAGACAGCTCTCCCAATTTTGACCCCTAAGGTGCTACTTAGAATTCTTTCTTCATTTAACTGCCTTTTATAATTTACTGCTGTAATTGAATATAAATTACTTTCCATGTACCCTTATGAGGCATGGGGTGAACAAGCTTAAAAATAAACTTGAAATTCCTATCACTTAAATAATACAGTATGTTAACAAACATGTAAATGTTAACAGTATCTCCCTAATCTATAAAGCCAAATCCATTTAGCGGGTGAAGTTTTGTGTATCACAACAAGGTGTGACTTTCCATTCTGACCACAGTTTTGGATGGAAGCCATATCCACTGGAAAATCACATTGAAACTTTGTTTAAATTAATGACAGGAGTGTCTAAATTTGATATATCTGTTCTTGGTGATTGAAGCTCCTTGCAGGAATGTGAACTGACAAAATTACTTTTGTCTCAATGTTTTGAAGAGTGGTTGATGGAAGGGGTGAGGTGTCATTGTGGGTCATCTGAAGAATATTTGCTCATCTTATCTTCTGCAGTGTTTCCATGTCTCTAAATGTGTTGGGAAGCCTGTTGTATCATATTCTGAGCCTGGTACACCAATCACTGTAATTTTCCTTATTTAAATTGTTTGGATGTTGCGTAAATAGTACATAATCATTGAAATAGTACTTCTGATTAAGGACATATTTTGAACTGTAGATACTTTAATCCAAGATCTCAACCAAAAAGAAATTGCTTTCAACTCTCCAGTCTGCAGTACATTTAAAGCCAGATTTAGAGACAAAAAGATTTAAATTAAAGCAATTAAGCTACCTATTGCCTGTACTTCTATGATCTGGATTAAATAACTCTTGCATTAAGTGCCATTTCCAGTTTAAAGTAAATCAAACTGGATTGAGTAGCTATTCAAATCCAAACACAGTTGTTGCTTCAAACTAATGTCGTACTTTGTACTTATACTTCTGACTGGTCAAAGGAAAAGAAGTAAGTGTTTCTGAATCTTAGATCTTTAAGAGCGGGTCCTGTTGTGACAGCGAGAAAACAATTAGAGTAAAATTGAATTCTGCCATCAAAAATGATTCAGATGTGCACATCTCTGTGGATTATCTGCTTTCTTAAGTGGCAAGATTGTTTTGACTGTGCTGTCTGCAATATATATGTTAAATGAGAGAGATGGGTCAATTGGCAGATTTGTATTACCCTCCTGTAACCACCTCCGGATCAAGCAACTAATGAAATCTACTCTTGTTCTTTCAGTTTATTTTTAGGGCAGACTTGTTGAGAAATAATAACAGCAACATAATAACCTACCGGTTATGATTTTTTTCACTGACAACAGTTGAAGCAGTTGTGACCAAGCACATCTTAGAATGTGATTTTTTTTATTTTCCAGTTTATTTCATTTTAAGATGTTTAAAATAACATTTCTTAAAAAAAAAGCCCATTTCCATTGTGGGATGATGTCTGACACTAGCTTTCTCTTAAACTATGCCCTATTTTGCACCAGACAACTGCTTGCAAGGTTTTGGAATTCCTGTGGGAGCACTATAAGGTAATAAACATATTTTTCCACATTGGTCACATATTAAATGACTTTCAGGTGAGGTTTTGTTACGCTGTTAATGAGTGGTATCTTTATGGTGCAGTTTGCTGTTATTTCTTATAAAAATAATAGCCTTGTTTAAGCAGATTGGTTACTGCAATAGTGGGCTCAACATCTACGTAGTGGCTGTCACACTGGATTACAAAGCAAATGTAGCCTGTCTGCATAGCACCTAATCCAAGAGTGCTTGTTTATGTTTGATTTCTTTTTAAAAACAAACTTCAAACTTGTGTGAATGAATCTCTTTATCATTGCTGTAATTTTGTATATTATTATGGTTATTTTTCAGATCTTTGGACAGCTGATTTTAATTCCACTGATCATGAGGTACATTATTTGCACATGTTCTAATACTTTAGTATGAATGAAACCACCTGTCAATTATACAGCCTAATCACTGAGATCACTTTGAAAATTGGCTAGAATTCACTGTGCCGAGAAATGATGGCATCTGCTGTTCCTTTGGCTCACCCTTGCTCATTTTAATTGAGCTTTTTGCCATCAGGCTATTATAAGTAGGATATCAAAATAGTGCAGTATAGGGTATTAGGACCTGCTTGAATACAGCAAGCTATTATGTATTTCCTTAACCATTTCAAATAAAGAATTGTTAACATGCACGTAGGAGCAGAGTAGGCAATTCAGCCCCTCAAGCCTACTCTACGATTTTGGATCATGCTGATCGTCTACTCAATGCCATATTCCCCCAATATTCCTATACTTCTTGATGTCATGAGTAACTAGAAATCTATCAGTCTCTGTCTTGACTTAATTAAATGACTGAACTTCCATAGCAATTTTCAGTAGAGACTTAGAAAAGTTTGGAACCCTCGGATGAAGAAGTTCCTTCTCATCTCCATCTGCATAGCTTGCCTTTAATTGAAGCAGTGTCCCCTCGTTCTAGATCCCACAGCCAGGGATCACTTGAAGAATTTTTTTTAGTTTTTATGAGATGGCCGCTCATTTTTCTAAACACAGCAGAATCCAGGCCCAATCTCCTCGCAGTCCCTCCTCTTGAACAGTCCCATCATTCCAGAAATAAGTCTGGTGAATGTCCAGTGTATTCCCTCCATGGAAAGTACATTGTTTCTTGGCAAAGGGACCAGAACAGTCCACAATACTGCTGAGGCTGTCTCACCAGTGTTCTTTAAGTTAAAACAAGAATCCTTTGTTCTGTACTCAAAATGAATGAAATATCAAGTCACGAAGCCAAATAGAGGGAAAGCAAGATTAGATTAGAGTCATAGAGATATACCGCATGGAAACAGACCCTTCGGTCCAACTGGTCCATGCCAACCAGATTTCCTAAATAAATCTAGTCCTGTTTGCTCTCTAAACTCTTCCTATTCATATACCCATCCGTGAGCCTTTTAAATGTAATTGTACCAGCTTCCACCACTTCCTCTGGCAGTTCATTCCATACACACACCACCCTCTGTGTGAAAAAGTTGCCCCTTAGGGCCCTTTAAATCCTACCTCTCTCATCTTAAACCTATGCCCTCCAGTTTTGGGTTCCCCCACTCCAGGGAAAAGACCTTGTCTATTTACCCTATCCATGCCCTTCATGATTTTATAAACCCTTATAAGGTCACCCCTCAGCCTCCGACGTTCCAGGGAAAATAGCCCCAGCCTATTCAGCCTCTCCCTATAACTCAAACCCTCCAACCCTGGCAACATCCTTGTAAATCTTTTCTGAACCCTTTCAAGTGTCACAACATCCTTCCTACAGCGGCGAGACCAGAATTGCATACATTAATGTCCTGTACAGCCGCAACATGACCTCCCAATTCCTATACTCAAGACACTGACTAATACATGCAAGCATACCAAACGCCTTCGTCACTATCCTATTTACCTCTGACTCCGCTTTCAAGGAACTGTGAACCTGTGCTCCAAGGTCTCTTTGTTCAGTAACATTCCCCAGGACCTTACCATTAAGTGTATAAGCCCCGCCCTGATTTGCCTTGCCAAAATGCAGCACTTCACATTTATCTAAATTAAACGTCATCTGCCACTCCTTAGCCCATTGCCCCATCTGATCAAGATCCAGTTGTATTCTGAGGTAACCTTCTTCATTGTCCACTACACCTCCAACTTTGGTGTCATCTGCAAACTTGGTAATCGTACCTGCTATGTTCACATCCAAATCATTTATATAAATTATGAAAAATAGTGGACCCAGCACTGATCCTTGTGGCACACTGCTGGTCACAGGCCTGAAAAGCAGCCCTCCACCACCACCTTCTGTCTTCTACCTTCCAGCCAGTTCTGTATCCATATAGTTATTTTCCCTCTATTCCATGTGATCTAACCTTGCTTACCAGTTTACCATGAGCAACCTTGTCGAATGCCTTACTGAAGCCCATGTAGATCACGTCTGTCACTCTGCCCTTATAAATCCTCTTTGTTACTTCTTCAAAAAACTCAATCAAGTTATTGAGACACTATTTCCCATGTACAAGCCATGTTGATTCTTCCTAATCAGTCCTTGCCTTTCCAAATACATATAAATCCTGTCCCTCAGGATTCCCTCCAACAACTTGCCCACCACTGATGTCAGGCTCACTGGTCTATAGTTCCCTGGCTTTTCCTTACCACCTTTCTTAAATACTGGCACCACATTAGCCAATTTCCAGCCTTCCAGCACCTCACCTGTGGCTATCGATGATACAAATTTCTTAGCAAGGGGCCCAGCAATCACTTCCCTACCTTCCCACATTGTTCTAGGGTAACACCTGATCAGTCCTGGGGATATATCCACCTTTTTGTGTTTTAAGACGTTCAGCATCACCTCCTTTGTAAAATGGATATTTTTCAAGATGTAGCTATTTGTTTCCCCAAGTTCTCTAGCTTCTGTATCCTTCTCCACAGTAAACACTGATGCAAAATACTCATTTAGCATCTCCCCTGTCTCCTGCAGTTCCACACATAGGTGGCCTTGCTGATCTTTAAGGGGCCCTATTCTTTCCCTAGTTACTCTTTTATCCTTAATGTATTTGTAGAATCCCTTTGGATTCTCCTTAAACCTATTTGCCAAAGATATCTCATGTCCCCATTTTGCCCCCCTGATTTCTCTTAACTATACTCCTACTGCTTTTATTCTCTTCTAGGGAATCACTTGATTTCTGCTGACATATGCTTCCTTCTTATTGACCAAAACCTTAACTTCTCTAGTCATCCAACAGCCTTGCCCTTCACCCTAACAGGAACATACTGTCTCTGGACTCTCGTTATCTCATTTTTGAAGGCATCCCATTTTCCAGCCATCCCCTTACCTGCAAACATATGCCCCCAGTCAACTTTTGAAAGTTCTTGCCTTTTACCGTCAAAATTGGCCTTCCTCCAATTTAGAGCTTTAACTTTTAAATCCGATCTATCCTTTTCCATCACTGGCCCCACAGTACTCCGCCACTGACACAGCAGTTGCCTGCCCTGCCTTATTTCCAGCGAGTAGGTCAAGTTTAGCACCTTCTTTAGTAGGTACACCCACGTACTGAATCAGAAAATTTTCTTGTACAAACTTAACAGATTCTTCTCCATTAAGCCCTTAATACTATGGCAGTCCCAGTCTGTGTTTGGAAAGTTAAAATCACATATCACAACCATGCTATTAGTATTTACAGGTAATTGAGGTCTCCTTTTATAGGAAGTAATTGTTTTTCAGAGTTTGCTTTTCTAGAATACCCAACAGTAATTAAAATCGGAAAGAGTGCAACTCGCTCATGTAGAAGATGACTTTTAGTGCCAGAGAGATTGTTTACTAGTAATTAAGTCTTATCATGCCATCAAAAAGAAGTAATTAAAGTGACATGGTTAAGGCTGTGCATGAGTTTAATTTTCTTCTAATCTACATAGGAGCTTTGTGTTATTCATTGTGTTTGATTGGTGAGTCAGTTAGCAAAATACCAGTTTTGGGAAAGTCATGTTGGATCAGGACATCTTGGATAGCAACTTCTGGATTTTTTGCATTTTAAGTAGTGATCTACCGGTACCTGAAGTTCCTGAGAAAAAACTTATCAGATGTTCAACTCTTTGTTAAGACTTTTTTGTGTTCGTATACATACATTCATGGGTGTAATGATACACCTCTGGATCAGGTTGGACTTGGACCCAGGTCTCCTGGACCACAGGTAGGGACACTGCCACTGCACCATTGAGTGTGGCAAGAATGGAAGGAAGGGTTTGCCATGCATTGGCCAGGAATTGAAAATTAGGCCCCCAGCGTGATAGTGAGATTCTACCACAAACACAAGCTGGCTCCATGTTCAATATTTTGGAATGCCAGTCCCTACTACACTTATTGGCCAGATGCAATGATGATTAAATAATTGAGGTTTATTGGTCTTGTTGTTACTTTGACAGTCAAAACCGGCCCATCATGTGTTTATGGATCAAACAATCAACTGTCCCATCAACTATACCAAAAATCAAAATGCGTAGAATGCCTCCAAATGTTTTAGTTTTATAACGGTGGCTCAGTGGCTAGCACTGCTGCCTCACAGCACCAGGAGCAGGGGTTTGATTCCACCCTTGGGTGACTGTCTGTGTGGAGTTTGCACATTCTCCCCCTGTCTGCTTGGGTTTCCTGCCACAGTCCAAAGATGTACAGGCTAGGTGGATTGGCCATGCTAAATTACCCATAGTGCCCAGGGATGTGTAGATTAGATGGGTTATAGGGGGATGGGTCTGGGTGGGATGCTCTGAGGGTCTGTGTGGATTAGTTGGGCTGTAGGGCCTGTTTCCACACTGTAGGGATTCTATGAAAATCTTCAGTACAAGATAAAGGACAATGATAACACAATAACAGCACCGATGGTGCTACATCATGGCACAGTTTAAAAGAAGGCTGAGTTTGCTAACACCAGTACGTGGGCCGAATAATATGAGATCATATTTTTCCAAACATATCATCTAAAAGTGCCACGGAAAGCATAATGAAGAGGTTAGCTTTTATTTAGTCTTAAAGTGCCTCTGTCAAAGTGAAATTGTAGTGTTTAAAGTGCAACAGTGATAAGCAGCGGCTGGTTTAACATGCAAAGAATAACTTGAAAATCTAGAAGTTGCTGACATTTATTCTGCCTTCCCCCACATGATATACTGCTAAAGTCCCTATAGGTGGAAAATTTCGAAATAATGTAATTTCATGTAAGCCTCCAGTATACTTGCCGTAGGAAGCATTTAAAAAGCTGCACCTTCTTTGAATGAAGATAAGTGGATTTTAAATGGTACGTCAGTATAACATTAGTTTCTTCAGGCCCAAGAGGCTGAACAACATTTCTCGTCTTGAAAAACTGATTCAATATTTATGTAATGCTGAATTTCTCCAGTATGCTATTTTCATAGATTTTCTTCTTTTTACAGTTTTATACTTCAACTTCTACATTAAACTCATGCATGAGGCAATCTTTATTTCATTCCCTGTAAAATGATTAAGAAGTGCAAGATAATCAATACTTTTAACCTCCTGGTTTGCCGTTGGTGAGAGTTCTTCAATATGATTGGCTACTTAAGACATCAGTGCTGTTAGGTGCTGGAGATCTGGGTGTTGATATTAATGCCAAATTGAAGTTAGGAATGGTTAAATCTGCACCACACAAATTGCGAGATCTTTTTGTGTCACTTTCCTTGACATCAGCAATGAGTGTTATTGGTTCACTGGTGATTATAAAACTGCACTATTAAAGTAATCTCAGTTCTTTTGGCCTGATATGTAGTGCACCAACTTCC